GGAGCCTCAGCATGGTGTTGAAGCATCCGCACGGGATTCGTCGATTGTGGTGGAACCGTATGTGATACCATCACGAGGTCCTTATCCGCATGTTGAACCACGCAAGAATACGATTCAGTTCACACCTGCACAGGTTATTCCTTTTTATTTATTTTTTGTTGCTGAAATATAATACTTCTGATTGATCTGAACTGATCTGTAGTACTCGAATCACTGCCGTACGTTAGTTTTATTTGTGGGCGAACAATAACCATTTTTTAATATGTATTAACTCAGCAGCGAGAAATTATTATTGAGTGAGAAGTTAGGTTGTTAGTTTCACTTGAACTGATGTGGTTGAATGCATGAGAATGAGAATCGATCGCTTCAAATCATCGCTGAGGTAGTTGTTAGTGTTGAGCAGTGAGCTGTAAGCGTGATAAAATGATGGGAATGCAGATCGAGGCCATAAAATCGGGAATGCAACCGGGACTAACGATGGTGGTTGGTCCACCAGGAACGGGAAAAACTGATGTGGCCGTACAGATCATCTCGAATATCTACCACAACTGGCCTGAACAACGAACACTTATCGTGACACATTCAAATCAAGCGCTCAATCAGCTCTTTGAAAAGATCATTGCACTGGATGTCGATGAACGACATCTTCTTCGTATGGGTGAGTTCGCTTAGTTTTAATCGATTTAAATCTCGTATAGAATATTTAAAATTCTCTGTGTAAATGGCCTACAGATGGGAAACTTTGCAATGCACTGAATTGTTTGAAATTGACCTCACTAGCGAGATAAGAAATGTTTATAGTTGAGAATTGCCGACGTTGCTGATAGATTGAAATCACACATCCATCTTGATTGCATCTCAGAGTTTTATATTGTTTTATATTCAATTGTTTCTTAAGAAGATATTTATTGCAGGTCATGGTGAGGAGGCGCTCGAAACTGAGAAAGATTTTAGTCGTTACGGACGTGTGAATTACGTGTTGAAGCAACGACTGGAATTGCTTAAAGAAGTAGGTACCTCTATCTGTGTTTGGTAGTTTTCAATAGTTGTGATTGAAATTTTTTGTGGAGCCATCAGATTCTGAATAGTGATTTATTGATATGAATTTAGGTGGAGAAACTTCAGCGATCGTTGGACGTTACGGGTGATGTGGCATATACATGTGAAACGGCCGGTCACTTCTTTTTATATCAGGTTCGAGTTTATCGTTGCACCCGTTTTGAAAATTATTCCTTATCTGATTAAAATCAAAATCTGCAATTTAATTCGTGAATAGTTTTGTTGCGTTGAGTATGGGATATTATTCTTTAAAGAAATTTTTTTAAAATTTGAATGAGAAATTACTTTTGATGTTGATTGTTTTGAGGTGTTTGCACGTTGGGAACAGTTTGAGAATGCAGTGTCACAGTGTGCGAAGAAGGGCACAAATCCATCGCCACAGTCAATTGCTGAGAATTTCCCATTCACCAATTACTTCGCTGATGTGCCTCCACCATTGTTCAAGGTTAGTTTTGATTGTTCATGTATTTTGGTCAGTTGTATTGGTTTGGTTAGTTTTAGATAGATCATTTCATTGGTGAATTCATTCGGTTAGTTAATCGCACTGAAGAGGTTATTGGATTGAAGATTGGTTCGGTTTTCAGGGAGTTTCGTTTGATGAAGACTGGGAGATTGCTGAAGGATGTTGGCGTTACATTAAATCGATATTTACGCAACTTGAAGAGTTTCGTTCATTCGAGTTGCTCAGATCTGGTCGTGATAGAACGGAATATCTTTTGGTAATGCCTTTTTTTAAACCGTTAACCATTTTGTGCAGTGAAATGATTCAAAGAGTTGTTGGCTGATTCTGTTCTGAGTGTGTTTGTGCGGTGTTTATTCTTTTGAGATGAAATTTTACGTTGACTTCGGATGTAATGTCTTTCATGTAACAACTCACATCTTATGAAACGAAAATCTTTGAGAACTATCAAATAGGTGAATTTAGTCGTGAAAGAGCAATTTTTAATCTGTTTTCGTGTTAAAGGTGAAAGAAGCGAAAATAATCGCAATGACTTGTACACATGCAGCGCTGCGACGCAAGGAGTTGGTTGAGCTCGGTTTTCGTTACGATAATATTCTGATGGAGGAGGCCGCACAGATACTCGAAGTTGAGACGTTCATTCCACTCCTATTGCAGGTTTCGTTTTTGATTTCATCATTGTTATTTAGTCTGTGCACAATTTCATTGTTGCACACAATTTCTGAACGGTTAATGGAAAGAAGTGGTGATGCGAAGTGCGTATTCATTCAGAATCCACAAGATGGTCGCAGTCGACTGAAACGTTGGATAATGATCGGTGATCACCACCAATTACCGCCGGTCGTGCAGAATGTTGCCTTTCAAAAGTATTCGAATATGGAGCAGAGTTTGTTCGCCAGATTCGTGCGATTAGGCGTACCGCACGTTCAGCTGGACAAGCAGGGTCGATCGCGTTCTGAGTGAGTAATAATTTATTGTGTGAAATGGTAACCGATTTTGGATGGTTTTAATGCGTTTTGTACAAAGAAATTGTACAGAGTATTTTTCGCGTTTCAAGTTATTCCTTCAAATATTACAGTGTTGTTTTGAGAAATAATTTTTACATGATCATCATTATCATCATTCATTTACGTGCTCATCTGAATATTATGAGCCTTGTTACGCTTCAGAATAGCAGCACTCTACAATTGGCGATATCGTAATCTCGGTAATTTACCACATGTGGAAGGATTAGAACGTTTCCAGACGGTGAATGCTGGCTTCGTGTTCAACTATCAATTCATCAACGTTCCTGATTTCAATGGGATCGGTGAGACAACACCAAGCCCGTATTTCTATCAGGTTTTCATTTTAGAGGCTGGCTTTTACGACGAGAATACGCATTTTTGAGGTCGTTATCAGGTTAAAGTGTATGTAGCGTGGAACAACGGCAAGAACTTCGGTGGCATGGGATTATTTTGAAACATTGAGTTTAAATATCGTTACGGTTGAGAAATAGTTTAATCGTTTTCAATGTGCAACGTATTGCTGTGCTAACAATAAGAGAATTTTGATTGTGCGTCGTATCTTATGGCAAATTCAGACCTTATACATGGTCATTTTATTCGTTAATGATCAATCATTGTCGAATTTGTCAAATTCGGATCATGTTTAAATGATTAAACTTATAACACAGAATCTTGGCGAAGCAGAGTATGCGGTGGCGTTGTTCATCTATATGCGAATATTGGGATATCCGTCCGAGAAGATCTCAATGATAACCACGTACAATGGACAAGCGTCGTTGTTGCGCGATGTGGTTGAACGAAGATGTGCTAATAACCCGCTGATTGGTTATCCACATAAGGTGCGCCTGGTTTTTTTTCTAGAGCTTGGTTTTGATGCTTATCGGGCGGAGTGTGGTTTTTAATCGTTTTTGTTGATTTCTAGAGTGGATATTGAAAAATCTTTGCAGATTTCAACTGTTGACAAATATCAAGGACAGCAGAACGACTACATTATTCTATCTCTGGTGCGTACGAAAAATATTGGGCATATTAGGTTAGTTGTGTGTTTGTTTTATGCTTTATTATATTGTTTGTTTACTTGTTTCAGCAATTTCAATATCAGAATGGAAATGAGAGCAAATAAAAGAGAAAATTGTTGATCACAATAGATAATTCTTTTTGTTTGCTGTCGATATTCATTTGCTTGTTTCATTTGCGGTTCAGCTCGTACTCATTTGTGGGTCTATTTTAGAGATGTACGACGTTTGATAGTGGCCTTATCGCGTGCACGTCTCGGTCTTTACGTGCTGGGACGAACAGATCTGTATCGCAATTGTTTCGAAATAACGCCTGCATTCCAGAAGGTCTAGAAATTCTCAGTTCATATTGCATCACACGTATATTCTAGATTTTTTGAAATTTCTGTGTTTCGCTTATGAAACGTCGATTTATTTATTTATTTATTTTATTGGGAATTCTCAAGTTACATTTTCTTCTGTTCAAAGTTGTTGTGTTTGGACTTTGTTGGTGTAAAATGCTCGATCATCTTTTAGCTGTGCCTGCATCCAACGAAATTGCTGATAGTGCCGAATGAAACGTTTCCAACCTCGAGAAAGGTTTATAGTTAATCACATTTTTTGATTGTCGTTACTCTCATTGTCTTATCGTTTATCGTTGAGTCGTTGTTATGGTGGCAATTTTGCATAGCCATCTAGATATTGTAATCGAGATTTTCTCTTAAAATGATTCAAATGCGATCAGCAAATTCGAAAAGTTCAAAATTTTCTCAGCTCGTTGAATCAGCAGCCTTGTTTTCTGAACATCGGTTTTCTAAGAAAATTAGCCTGTGGTAGCCAAAATCTTTAATATTTACAGTGAACTGTAAGCTTCAAATACCGAACAATATTTTGCTCATCGGCCGTTCTGCTTATTTGTTCGCTATTTTGACGATTTGTGAAAAATTCGAAAAGTTTTCATTTGAAAGAATACTGAGCAAATTAATGCGATTGAAATGGTGATGTGATTGATAAATTGATGCAGTTGCGTGGTCGTCCACCGATGGAACCAATTGAGATTCAAGACACCACACATATCAGCAATTTCGTTCATCAGTTCTACATGAGCAACATGGAACAGTTGAAGCAAAAATACAAGGAACACATGAAGGATTACTTCGATGCTAGACAGGTATTCGTTTTCGATAATTTGTAGATTATTTGATTTTAGGATGGTAGTGATTCAAGTAAGCATTTTGATGTATAGTCGTTGAATTTTGTGTGGGACTTGTTGATTGTTACGGAATCATTATTCTTGTGTTCTTTGACACGCAGACACTGACATTCCAGACGTGATTAAGATAGCAGAATTTTAACAACTGAACACCGCATTATCGTTGGATACTCTAGGTTTACTCTTTACTTGTGAAGCATTGCGAATATTTGTGTGCAACTAGCAAAAAATTCACAGTTAGAGATATTACCTGGATTACGTGCATTGGCCAAGCTATCAAACGTTTACAACGTTGCTGGCCACAATGCTCGCGTTTCCGTGCGCATTGATTTAGCCTCAATTTACGCCACCCCGCTGGCTAGGCGAGTAGGCCAACCGAACACAGCCGAGTAAATAATTAGTCTCCGTGAATACTTTGCATAATTAAACGCAGTCAAATACCAATTCAATAAATAATCATTACTCTGATAAAATGAATATTCCGCCGATCGCTCACTGCGATTGACGAAACAACCACTCGATGTCCAAGTAATAATTGATTTCAACAAATTCCTAGAATTTCTATATTCAATGAATATATCTCTAATTAAGTAATTATTAATTAGAGATATCGTCATTGAATATAGAAATTCATTCATGTTGATTGATGATCGATTGTGACGGAACTTATTGAAGCAATTTCTCGCCAACGATGTGGACTCGTGAAAGTTTTTTCAAAAATTTTAGGCAGCTATTGATGCGCGTTTGGCCGCGGAATCAGCAGCTCGAGCCGCTGAAGCGACAAAAGGCGAAAAGGAGAAAGGTGTGCCTGAACCGACGGCTATGGACGCCGAGGAGACAGCGATCACCTTCGAGAGCATGGACTTCGAACTGCAAGAACCGACGAAACCTGCAGAGAAATAAACTGCAGCGTGCATAAATAATGCGAAAGAAGCGTGATTTCATCATGTTTATTGAAGGATCTCGAATTGAATTCTGTTTTTTTTGTTATGATTGAATGGGTTTTGTTGGTTGTTTGATATGTTTCGTTGGTGACTTCGTCGTTGTTGTTGATCAATGCTTTGTTGTTACTGTGTTATTGCTGATGTCTTCGTGGAATTAAGCATTTTATACCGTAAAGTAAAAAGGGGTTAGCAAAAGATAATTGCTGAGGTATGAGCTCGTGTTCGAAGAAGAAACAATTTTTCATATAAACCAGTAGACGATTTGAATGGATTTATGTATTTATCAACCTAGCCAGAACACACATTTTTCCAAATGACCTGAGCTGCAGGTATTTCATTGTGAATTAAATGATTTGTGAACTTCAAGTTTTTAATTGAATTTGTTTGGTTGATTGTTTTGACTTTGTTATGTTACCATTGTTATTTCATACTGTTAGAATTATATTACGTTTATTAATTCTACAGTTGTTGTGTTGTTATTGTATATAAATAAAATACTCAATTAAATTCAATAGTGCAACAGCGTACTGATGTCAAATTAGCTTTTGTGAGTGAATGGAATGAATGTGCTTGAAACTAATCAACTATGAGTTATTATCGTTCAGAAAGTTGGCGTAATTGCCTTCTGCTTATTAATTTTAACAATGGAAACACTAGTGCTATTTAGGTTTATAGTACAGCCAATATAATACTCTTGAATATTTGAATCTGCAACAAAATCAATCGTATCCATTGATGGAAGGAAGTTATTGGTTTACAATCTGCACGAATGAAACATATTCCTGGTTTATTTTGGGAATTTTGCATCTTGAATCTGTGTAGTTCAGTGAGTTTGTTCTGATGACAGTAAGCAGAATGTGACATGAGTTGTGGCCCAGTTAGTGGCATTGCCAGTAAATGAACAAACGTTCTTAAGAACCATTCTCAGGCGATTTTGCTTCGGAGTGATGAAATTATTGAGATTAGAATTTCTTCGATTAGAACAAATCGCACGCAATACATTGGCAGGTGATTGTTTCGTCTGGTTTTTAAATCGTTTATCGAGTAATTTAAACGTTCAAAATTGTTTGTGGATGCTATTAGAGTTTCATTAACATATTTAATCAAACACAATCAAACAACAAAATTCGATTGAATCCATAAAAATGGTCATCAGCTGAATGCACTAGAAAATTAGAAATAAACACAAAATCGACAACCACTCATCCGCCATCGATGCAACAATCCTCCTCCTTCATCATTCATGACGAACCCCTTCACAATTTGTGAATGTGTGCTCGAATCGTTACTATACTCATTCGTTATTTGATTATTTTTTGCCCCATGTCCAACCAAGATCATACCAGTCTGGATTCTTTTTGATCATCATCGCTCGAATTACATCTCTTGCTTGACTCTGTAAGAGAAGAGAATTATGAAGATATTCAATTGTTTTGTTTTTCATTACTTGCATATAGAAAACAATGACGACATTTGTTCTATTCGATCACCTGCTGTGAAATATGGATTTTCAATGCAACAACTTGCAAATGTTTCGAGTTGCAGCAGTTTGAAGTTTGATTCTAAAAAGGACACGGCAATTGACGAAATGGCCAAGTTTATAATGCTCTCAGCTTTCTTACAGCAGCTCATCATTCACTGTTCCCTTCTGTTATTAATGCCGTAGTCAGAAAAAATTTCTGCACCAATCAGCATTTCTGGTTTCAATCGTGCATGTTCACTGTTGCGTTTACTTTGAACGCACTACCGATGCATTAGTTTCACTGCAGATTTTATGGTCTTTAATCATAAGATGTTTGTATTTGGAAAAGTGAATATAAGTTAACATGTAAGCGTAAACGAGAGTTCGCTTAAACTCTCCTTAGAGTTCTCTCCGTAGCTATATCATTGGACACTACGTAAGAATAGCTGTTAAGTTTCATGATCGTCAAACTAATCAACGAAATTGAATCGAAAATCACGGATGCATGGGTGATTTATTGTGGCCGTATCATTGCTGTGCGAAGGGAAGGATGTGAAGATATTGAGAAAGCGATATTTGGTGATATCAATGATAAGCAAGCGGTAAAAACTCGTAATGAGTTGCAATTGCTGTCTGGATAAATGCACGAGTCAACGACAATAAATGAAAGCTTAATAAACCAAAAGCATAGTACATTGACTGAGCGTTTTCCCCAAGACCAGCCAAGATCCTCCCAATGCGGTTTATCTCGTTTCATCTCCCGTTCACGTACCAAAGAAGACCATGATGACTCATCTGCAATACACTTCCTTCACAGTTACTTGATAACATTGAACGGAACGGATTACTTCTGTTCAGAGTTGAGAATCGATTTGATTACATCTCAGAAAAACCTTCATTCATTAAACCTTCACAAATCTTTTGCCTGTTCAAAATGAAAATAGAATATTGCTTGCGATATGCTGTAGGCTCTATCAAAGATGATAGAAACACTAGAAATTTTGCACCATTCAACAACACCAAAGAAAATATTTCAAGAAATATCATCTATCAAACTCATCGCTATCCATTTCATAGTATTCGATTATTTCGTGTTCATCTCTCATGAAGATATTCACTTTTCTTGTTAATGAATGCAATAATCTCTGTATGGGATCTTGTGAAATAGCACGTTCACAATGAAGCAATTTTCACAAATGCACTGAATTATGAATTGAGTTTGTGACTTGAAACGAATGATTGTAATTTGTTGAAAATTAGTGATGAGTGCAATGTGGAAGCAATGATGAAGTGCATAAGGAACCACCTTGTGAAGAAGCCAAAATCAAGAGACTTGCAAAAGCGATGAGTAGTTTATATAACAACGTTGACATAACGCTGCTTTTGAAATCTGTAATTAATCGTTAGCACCTAATTGCTTTTCATAACAAGATATGTTCATGTTCGCATTTTTGCACAGTCAACGATGAACAACAAATCGAGTCATAAAATATTATCTCAAAACAATAAATTGATTTCTAAACATAGCTCTCTCTCAAATCGCCAGCATTTCTTTGCGAAACATTTCTGTGATGTGAACGAACGTATTCCTTGAACTATATGAATCAACACAAAACAATTGCTTATTGAGAACGCTGCATGATATCAGAAGGTATCCTTCATCGAAACACATTTCTTAGAGCCGACCAGGCAGCGAAACAGCTCAGACTCGTCCTAAACTGCAAACATATGTCAGAGTTCTCTGCGCCTCAGTTTATGTCAAGCTGAAACATTTTTTCGGATAGCATCTGAAGAAAATAGTTAAATTTTCTTTCCTACTAGCCTGTTCTAACCAATTGTTCTAATTGAACCAACTGCTATATTCTTTCACTGCAATTCTCATCTGTGTGCAAAGCATGAAACTTTAAACTGGTTAAAACAAAGGTACCATGGGAATTGATCGCATTAATTGTAAACGAACGTGTGATATCGAATCCTCGAACATGTTTTATTGACAAAGTGATATGGAATTAAGAAATGATTTTGAAACAACACCAAAAATCAACGCTTATTTAAGAGAAATCACTTTTAGCAATTCTCAGCGATCACGTTTATTCATCACAAAAAGTTTATATCTATGAATGGATCATGTGTAATTGATAGATTCAACGTTAAGGTTACAAACTTTCCAGAAGTTAACTTCCTCCTAAATGAGGCACTTTTAAAATTCAACTCCAGCAGGAGCTGAATTCGGAGAACACCAAAAATATCATCTAACAAAACAGTCCTTTTCACCATAATGTTTCGAATTGGGCCGAGATTCAGAAAAATTCCGAAAAACTTTATTGATATTTCAAAGCAAGAGTGATGAAATAAAGCGATTTGTCCAGGATGACCATAAGTATTCGCTCATGCCACATTTGAAAGAAATGAATGAGATGCCTGAATTGGAGTCAGCTCAAAGTGGGCGTTGTAACTGGTCAAGAAATCTTAGTTGTTCATTAGGGTGAATGGAAGTGGGTGGCTGTTTCAAGAGCGTATTATACTCTCGGCTCGCGAAATGATGAATTGCAACGATAATAAGCACTAACAAGCTGGGAGGAGTGTGTCCGTAGGTGCATTTCAATTTGAATCGGATACAGATGCGAGTTGTTTGTGATGATTTTCAAGCAGAACCATCTTCGTATATCAATTGAAAGATGCATTCATTTATTTTAATGAAACTTATCATAATTGTCGTCTTCCTTTACTCGATGTCATCAGTTGCGAAATTAGCACAACCCAAATTGCCTATTGCCTATCGCAATTGAATCTTCTTATATACCACCTCATTAATAATCATACGACTAATTATGTTTCCCTTCCTTTCAGCTATTCAATTTATTTGAATTCATTTAATGAATCTCGAATAATTTTGCTCGCCTTTTCCATTTATTCACCATTTCCTTTCCTTTTGATTTCCTTTTCACATCGAAATAACCAAACAACAATGAGAAATTAATCGCATTCGTTGGATATTTTCATTCGATGACAATTCTATAGTTCATCACTTATATGCAAAATCAAAATAGATAAGTTCATTGACTTCCTCCAAAAATATTCTCAAAATATTCTCAGCTTTCGGTTCTACAAAATTTTCACGCGTTATCCACGACAATTGTTGAATTTATGTGCCTATACGGGATCGCAGTGAAACATGGAACCGACTGATCGACTTTCAGCTGAGCAAAAATTGTCGTCCGTTTACGGGAACAAAAATTGGCGAGCAATCTTGCGAATGGTTACAGTGCGAAGCTTAAAGCGACATTAACAAGAGTTTTGATGCTTTTGCAATGTACCATTTGCATTTCACTGTTTTATGAGCTATTGAAGTTAACGGTTAGGAAGTTTTTTGTGTTAAATACAGTTAAAATCCTGAAATCATTGACCACATAATATTTGGACTAGTTGATATCCCTTGAAAAACGTCCGGGTGGACAAATGCAATTCTAACTTTGTGTGAGCCAACGCATGAGCAT